CTTCTGTAGCGAAGGTGTGGGGATTGCACAGAAATTGTTCCCAAGTGGGTTTCAGCAGACTGTTTTGCAGACAAATGATTTCCTTCTGGATCTCAGCCTCTCAGCCAGTCCAAGATACTTGGGCTGCACCTCTCTTCCTGCAAATAGTAAAGACAGGTCAGACTCCCAAGGGGTCCTCGGTTGGACCACAACCCTTCTGCCCATGGGCCAGCTGCTCTGTCTCTGGCAGTTCAATCAGAGCAGTGGTCTAGCGCTCCCCCTCGACCTGTTGCAATCCCATATTTTAAAGGTACTTCTGGGGATAGCAGCAAAAAGAATTCCCCCCTCCGATCCCATCCTCTCCCTTACAGTACCAATATTTTTTGTGCATTGCTCCCCAAACAGGGCTCACACTAAGCTCCTTCTCTCTGTTTAAATCCTGCCCAAATAGAGCAAGGCAATGGCTAAGTGGTGCCTTTCAGGGGATCTTAGCCAAAACTGCTCCCTGCTCATAGGACCTCACTCTGCCAGTGGAAGGGGGTGAGAGACCGGATGGCTTGTTGAGGCCTCTACATCCTCTCTCCTCTCCAAAGCTTCATCAGAGACCAGCAGGACCACAGTCTCCCCAGGCAAAAAGTGACCACTGAAATCCAGGCACAGAGTCGAGGTGACACAAAAGTGAGTGTTGTCCATGTATCTTAATTGCCAGGTCTTGTGTCTTCTGATCTCATGCACAGAGATTACACCATAGGGAAGGCTGAGCATGAAGGAATTTCATGGATTCCTCTGGACTAAAGACATGAGAAAGAATAACTGTACCTGTCCCTAAGCTGGTGACCTAAATGACCTAAGCTATTCCAGCATGTCATTCCACATAAAAGGGATCACAAAAGCAGGTAAATTGTCAGTGGGTAACGAGCTCAGACTGGTGTCTGAATCATGAGAAAATCTTGTTGATATCCAGGGCGCTAGGCAATCCCCAGATAGACCTATTTCAGTCAAAAACGTGCCAAAAAAGCTTTTTCTTCACTAGGGAAGCAGACCAGAAATCATTGGGAACAGATGCTCTGGCTCAGTAAGGGCCAAATCTGCTTCTGCATGTCTTCCTCCTGTATCAAGAAGGGTAATTTGAAAAATCAAAAAGGAGGAAACAGTTATTCTTGTCAACCCAAACTGGCTATGCTTCTCAGACCTAGTAGAATTTTCAAGAGACCTCCAGTCCATCCTCCCAGCAAGCTCTTATTCCAAGAATTGCTCCTCCTTCCTTACCCAGATTACCTGAACCTGACTGCTTGGCTAGTGAGTAACAAGCCTAAACAAGTTGAGATACTTTCCCAAAACAATAGTGACCTTCCTAGCCTCCCACAGACCTTCCACCACTTTGGCCTACGTAGGAGTGTAGACAAAGTCTCTTACTAGTGTTGAGATAACAAGATCAGCTCCAGGAAACCAGATGACCTAGATCTGCTGGATTTATTACAAAATAGCCTAGATTTGGTCTTAAGATCTCCTGCAATTACATCTGATATCTTATATCTCAGCAGTAAACAGTGTCATAAATATAGGCTCATGCATGTCTCTGGTAGACCTCCCAGTGCTATCTAAGTGCCTTACAGCAGTATGTCTATCCATACTAACAATCAGGCTTATCTTCCGGACCTCTGACCGGACCACTGTGCGTTGAGCTTTCATAACTCATCCATCCGCACTGGAGTTATCTAATTTCCCTTATTTTCTCACCATAAATACATGCTTGATGGTCCAAATCACCTTTTTAGAAGAGTTTCTGAAACCTCTGTTAGAAGACATGAACCTTACTACTTATTCCAGGAGGATAAGATGATACTTCATACTCCAAAGTCATTTGTTACTAAGGTTAACTCTTCCTTTCATACATCACAGGATATCGCTCTTCCTCATTTTGCCCAAAGTCTTAACATGACAGAGAAAAAGCTGGAGATAAGAAGTGCTGTTAAGATTTACTGGGGTAGAAACAATCAATCCAGGGAAATGTCATTAGTCTCCTTTTACTCTAAACACCAAGGCTTAAAAGAATTTAAATCTGCTCTAGGTAGATGGGTGAAATGTTGCATTTTTGAAACACATGCAGCTGGAGAGAAAATGGCCCCAGATTGAATTCTGAATGTCCCAGAGCAGCTTTCTGGGCAGAGAGGGCATCAGTCACCACACACAGGTAATCTATAAGGCCGCCCACCTGGTCACCAGTCAACACCATTAGACATCATAATCAGCATCAGTATCCTCTAGAACCATCACTTATTTTAATGAGATTGCATATTTTGGGTAGCAATTCAGCAGCTTCATTCTTAAATTTCTTCTTCACTTTTAGATGTGTGCCATCTGGTCCTGAGGATTTGAATCTCTTACATTCTACATGAATAGGTGTCTCTGCTGTAACCCAGAGCAACAAAAGTTGTGTGTCATGTTATTCAGATTATTGAACCCTCTGCAATTCCTCCCAGTTCTTCTGGTGGGAAGCAGTGGGATTTGCTCACCCTTGGAGGTGAGAGAGGGTTCCTTCCTACATCCAGAAATTTCCCAAGACCTGTGTAGCTCAGTGCAAACATCGGCTCAGTGTACAGTGGTGAGCAAAATAAAATGGTAGGATGTCTGAAGAAAAGGATAGAAAATAATGTTAAAGGTACTATAGTGCTATTGTATAAATCAGTTGTGTGCCCTCACCTTGCATATAGAGTTCAGCTCTGGTCAACACATCTCAAAAAAGATATAGGGTAGAAATAGAAGTGGTCCAGAGATACTTCCATATGGAGACAGATTGAAAAGGTTAGATCTGCTTAGTGTAGAGAGGAGTCAAATAAGAATGTGCATGATAAACACGTACAAAATAATCACTGGCACAGGAAAAAAGGAACTTCCCTAACTATATTTTAATGTGCATAGAGGGTTAAATCATGACCCCTGGGACAAACTGTGCAGAAGATTAATGGGGTGTGAGATGCCCCCTAACTCACCTATGTGGGCTACCTTTGTCATGCGCCATAACGAGCAAGGGAGAGGAGCTCCTGACAGCCATTACAGCCTTTCCCATATAGGTGGGCAGGGACTGGGCAGGCACAAGCAGGAGTGGGTGAAGCTTTCACTCTGCTACCCCTTTACCGTGCCTCGGTCCTTGCAGCTGAGCTCATGCAAAGGAGGCATTAGGGACTGAATTGTGACTCTCTGTCATAATTTGGTCCCTGGTTTACTTCTGGGACAGCACAATGCACATAGCCCCTTACTCTGGGCCTGTGGGAATGCCATGATCTAGTCCTTAGGGTTGGTGAAAAGTGCTGCATTGACAGCCCTGGAGTATGAAGGCTTATGTTTATCCATCCAACAGGCTGCGGCAGTGCGAGCTCTCTGAACTTCCCCACCCGTGGCCCTCAGTGCTGTTCTGGATATATCGTGTCTACAGGGTGATTCATTCTTCAGGAATTCATTCAGTTTCTTGTCCCATTTGCTACAATGCCAATAAGGGTGCCAATTAGTTCCACTAATGGTGGACATTTCTGTGAGAGGTCCACAAACTCACCAGGAGCTAGACTAGAGAGAGTCTGCTAATCTCATAAGCCACCAAGCCAGTGACATAAGCCAAGTTTGCTAACAAAAGACGTGGTGTCCCAGCAGCAATCTCTTAACCCGGGGTGGGCAAACTTTTTGGCTCGAGGGCCATATCAGGGTGCAAAACTGTATGGAGGGCCAGGTAGGGAAGGCGGTGCCTCCCCAAACATCCTGGCCCCTGCCCCCTATCCGCCCCCTCCCACTTCCTGCCTCCTCAGAACCCCTGACCCATCCAACCCCCCTGCTCCTTGTCCCCTGACTGCCCCTCACCGGGACTCCCATGCCCTATCCAACCCCCCCTGTTCCCCAACCCCTGACAACCCCAGAACCTCTTCCCCATCCAACTGCTCCCTGTCCCCTGACTGCCCCCTGGGACCCCCTACCAATTTTTTCACCGCCACACGCCATCACCACCCCCTTACCATGCCGCTCAGAGCAGCAGGAGCTTGCAGCCCCACTGCCCATGTGGTGGTGTGGCTGCGGGGGAGGGGCCGGCAGCTAGCCTCCCCGGCCAGGAGCTCAAGGGCAGGGCAGGTTGGTCTCGCATGCTGGATGTGGCCTGTGGGCCATAGTTTGTCCATCTCTGTCCTAACCTGTCCATTTACCAAAACATAGATAGCGGGTGCATAAGTATGACTATATTATAGAAAGAGAGAGCAAGGGTCACACCCAGGAGAATGGCCTTGTTCAGATGTTAATCAGGAATTGTAGACTTGGGCGCTTGGATGTGTTGTGGTAGGCTCCCTCACTATCTTTGAGCCTTTGTTTCATGAGGTTTTTTTAATTCTTGTCAAAAACATTTTCTTTGTTGTGTATTGCTACATTCAGCATTGGCCTAACTTTGCTGCCATTGACGTCCATAGTAAAACTCCCCCGTTGACTTCAATAGAGTTAAGTCAACTCTGAGCATGTGTGAAAATTCCATCATATATTGCCTGCTACATGCAGCTTCTTAAAATGTATTGAATATAAATGCAGGCACACCCCACAGTGAAGAGGTACAGATGTGTGTCCGAGCCAATGCAAGAGATCTTGATTTGTATTTCCTCTGACTTGTACCACAAGCATCCATCAACAGCTGGGAATGTTGTGCTTTATGAGGTATTAAAACACTGTGGGTTCAGTTGCTCACACAGAAGTGGGCATTGGCACTGGTAGGAGGAATTTAAAGGGCTTGACTTATCTGTGTGGATAGATACAGTAGTATGTAGATAGCCAAGGCAACCTGTATACAGAAACATCCCAACCAGTTCTACCTTGCTCTCTGTAAATCAAAAAGCTGCTTTCCAGCAGAAATGACCTTTGATTAGGATAATTACTTTAAAATAGTGTTTTCCGTTCGGCGTTTTTCATGTGTTTCGTATGGAGGTTGGTTCCAAGACCCTCCACCTGCATGGAAACAGTACTTTTTTCCTTTGACATCATTTATTTTTCTCCAGGAGTTAGTGGCTGTGGGCGAACACTTTGATATAGTTTTTATTGATGCTGCTCAAAGAAATGCCGTTAACGACTACAACTTTGTCATGGATAACCACTTGCTGAGAATGGATGGAGTGATCTGTGTGGAGAATACTCTCATGAAAGGACAAGTCTACCTGGAGAACATATCTGATGAAAATGTATTAGCTGTCAGAAAATTAAATAATGTAATTAATTCAGATCCTCGCGTTGAGCAGGTTAGTGCTGTACAATTAGTTAAGGGTTATATTGGTATTGTAAGCATCTATGAAATTGCTTCAGCAATATTGTGTTTTAAGAGTCCTGGAAGTAGGCTGTCTCACTCTTGCTGTCTATTCCCTACAGTAGTGGCCACGCTATAAAACGTACTTTGCTCAGTTCCAGCAGGGTATGCAAGAGAACCAAAAAGTTCGTTATATTGTTCACCCAGTGGAACACTAGGCCTGATTTACTAGATCCAAATGGTTCATACTGTGCATCGTCATGCTCTATTGTGTTATCAGAAATAGTTGCCTTCAATTGCAGAAGAGGGTATTTGACGCTTTAACTGTCCAGGCCCTGACACCTACTCTTAATCACTAAGTCACCCGGGTACCTAGCCTGCCCATCTTATTTTCTTGTGTTTGGCCAGTGGTGTTGGGTCTACAAGATGCTGTGTCATTTTCACTAAGGTATGGTTGCCATCTAGACAATGGCACCAGGTCACTCGTTCAGGCCTGCAAATCATAGCGGTGGAGCATAAAATGTAATTTATATACAGAAGAACACAAACAGTAGTAGGTAAGATTGTCCAGAGAATATTCACTCATTATTATTATTAAGCTCCAAGAGTAATCTTGGTACAAGTCCCAAAGAACATAAAATCTCATTCAACAATCAAAATCAGATGCACTGGAAGTCCCAGACGCTGTGTCTTGTTTATAAAACTGGAAGACAAAATGGCATTTTTATTGATCTAGCATTTGTGAAAGTAGTAGTGAGTCTTGAATGGGAATATGAAGTAAGATGGAGGACTGTCATATTGGGATAGGAAGGGACTTTCATGTGCAGGGAGCAGCATGCAAAGAGAGAACCACCATAATACCCAGCATGGGCCTAGCCCAAACCCAGTGAAGTCCTTGGAGACTTTGCCGCATAGTTCAATGGGCTTTGGCTCAGGCCCAATGTGGTGTGCCCTGAAGTCGAAATGGTTCAGTGTTGATTTGGACACTCGTGTTTTTCCAGGTTATTTTACCTGTGCAAGGCGGAATGAGTGTCATCCGAAGGAGCCGTGCGCACGCAGATAGGGTGATTAAATCAAAGGTGTGTATTTTCTCTCCATAAGCAGTATGGGTGAAATCCTGGCCTCGCTGAAGTCAGTGGAAAAATTCACATTGATTTCACTGGGGCAGGATGTCACCCTTTGTTTTCACTTTATGCATTAAAGAGACAATCTCGTTTGAAGAATGTATCCTGCATGCATCACTTTCCCCAGTAATTGCCTAAAGAGTAAGAATCGTAAAAGAAACCAGTATCGGAGTGAGGCATGTCATAAATTATAATGTGCCGTGGGGCAGCCAGCTGTTTTCTTTATATCATTGATTACAGTAACCCTGCCATTTCCCCCCTCCTACCTTACCCCTTTACGTCTACTTTCTGCAATATGCACCTAGTTTCCCTTCCCCACTGTTAGCTGGATTAAAGCCTCCCACCTTGCAGGTCCTGCAGGTCCATCCCGAGCCTGAATGTCTACACTGCAGTTAAACAGCTCCCCAGCCTGAGCCCCAAGAGCCCAAGTCAGCTTGCACAGGCCAGCCACAGACATACCTATAGTGGAGGGGTTGAAGGTACATTGTGCCTTTGGAGGTGTTATGCCTTTGACATTCACAATGACCCCTGGGCATGCAAGAGAATTCACTGTGAAGTACGCTATGCTACACTTATGTGACTAGAGCATCCAGTGAAATTTTCAGCAGCAGAGCCATTCTACCCCATTGCCTTGCCCCTCCATACCCCCTATGGAGCTGATAGCTCTGCTGGCATTTGGACTTCACTGACCTGGGTAGCGTGATTTCAATCCTACCTTTTGCACCAAAGTAATGGGGCAGGAAGGAACAGCTCCCGACACATTCTACCCCACACCCTAACACACGTGAGAAGTGTGCCCTTGTGGCCAAGAAGGCTGACTGCATATTGGGCTGCATTAGTAGGATCATTGCCAGCAGATCGAGGGAAGTGATTCTTCCCTTCTATTCGGCACTGGTGAGGACACATCTGGACATTGTGTCCAGTTTTGCGGCCCCCCCCCACTACAGAAAGGACGTGGACAAATTGGAGAGACCAGCAGAGGGCAACGAAAATGATTAGGGGGCTGGGGCACATGACTTATGAGGAGAGGCTGAGGGAACTGGACTTATTTAGTCTGCAGAAGAGAAGAGTGAGGGGGGAATTTGATAGCAGCCTTCAACTGAAGGGGGGTTCAAAAGAGGATGGAGCTAGGCTGTTCTCAGTGGTAGCAGATGACAGAACGAGGAGTAATGGTCTCAAGTTGCAGTGGGGGACGTTTAGGTTGGCTATTAGGAAAAAAACTATTTCACTAGGAGGGTGGTGAAGCACTGGAATGGGTTACCTAGGGAGGTGGTGGAATCTTCATCCTTAGAGGTTTTTAAGGCCCGGCTTGACAAAGCCATGGCTGGGATGATTTAGTTGGGGTTGGTCCTGCCTTGAGCAGGGGGTTGGACTAGATGACCTCCTAAGGTCTCTTCCAACCCTAATTTTCTATGATTCTATAATTTGTGTGTGGGGGGGGAAGGGAGGGGGGGCTAATGGGTTTAACATAACTGAATTTTGACCCTCAGTGCATTGTGGTGTTTTGCTACAGAAAGAACTGGTGAAAGATGATGTCTTTTGGGGCTATAACAGATGTCACATCCTTGATCGCCTGCGTTTGGATGGCAAAGTGGCCTATGTAACAGGTGGAGGCCAGGGGATAGGAAGAGCCTTTGCTCATGCATTGGGGGAAGCAGGTGCTAAGATAGCCATTGTTGATCTGGTACTTGCAAAGGCAGAAGTGGTAGCAGAAGAGCTCAGCCTGAAAGGTAAGCAGTGTACTAATTCTCTGATTGCCCTCATACATGCACTTCTACAGTGCTCATCCCTGTAATGTCTGTGTGCTTTGTTATTTTAAACTTGCGTAGCTGGTGGCTTGTTGGAGAATATCTTGCATCGAGTTTTGATGCAGAATAAGTCAAATAGCAAAGCAAAGGATTTCCAAATAGCGCACACATGCCACAGTTGCCGAGCGTGATTGCCTCACGCAGCATCTTAGCACTGCGTCAGCAAGCAATAACCAATGTCACATTGCCTGCTTGTGTTACCTCACAGAGTAAGCACAACCAGGAAAGCAAATTACTGTGTATAAAACTCTTTATCCAGGGTACCTGAAGGAAAAACAGCATACAATGAGCCATGACTGACGGGCACAGAGAATAGCAATCTTTTATTAATAAGTGCTATATAATATACATCAATCAGCCAGAAAAAGAGTAGTTCCAGATGTTATATCACGTGGCAGCTAAGGCACTTAAGACTTGCTAATAAAGAACAGCCAGACACAGCCCATGCGCCCATTAATACATATCCCAACTACAGCTTCTCCTTTCACACACAAAACCAATCGTACGGCCACAAACACGTCATGAGTGCATAGGGTAATATTTTTTATGGCGTGAATCTGTCTCCTGTATATCTAATAATCGTGGGCCAAAGGCTTCAGTCATTGTTCAGAACCCATTAGCCTCAATGAGGGTTTTGCCTGTGAAAAGGCTGCAGGCATTGTCTGTGTGACTTGACTTCCACTCGCTGCATCATAGAGTAGCCGTCGTTGAGGAATAATTTGTTCACAGGGCAGAAAGCAAGGAGAGGAGCTAGGGAAAGGGCTGAAGAGAAGCAACGCTGAGCATGCCTGAGATTTTTAAGGGGGTCAGCTAGTTACATGTAACTTTGAGGGATATGCCAGACATAAACATACTGAAAAACAAGATTTTCAGGACTGCCTGATTTTAGGTGTCCAATTTGGGACCCATTGAAAGGTCCTGATTTTCAGTAGCCAGGGTAGCCAGCACATTCTGAAAATCTGGCCTGTTAATTTTTGGGTGCCGATCTTTTTAGAGCCACCCAAAATCGTCAATTGTCACTTTTGGAAACATTGGCCATAGTTCCTCAAAACATGCATCAGTGAAAAGCATAGAGGTCAGATATAGGTACACAATACTGACATACATCACAAGTAAAATCCCAAACAATAGGTGAAATCTTCTACAAACCACTAACATTTTGTGTTTTTTATTACTAAAATAGGACCTAAAATTCAATTCCTCTCCAAAGACGTTTGCAAATATGATAAAGCTAAACTATATTCATAAAGGAAACATAGACAATTGGAAATAGAGTTTTAATGAGAAAAGAGATGAAGTATCACTCATTTTATAATTCCTCTTGTGAAAGTACTTCCAAGCCTTCCGCTACATCGGATTCTTCAATATCATCAAAGATGTAGCTTCATTCAGGAAAGTGGGATACTGCCATCTGGGCCTGTATTCTAATATTTGTGTAAACGGATATTGTAATAGACTGTATGCTACTGCAGGGAGGACCTAGGTCAGTTTTTCTGTGGTGTATTAGCTGAAGTAGAAATTTTCTAAAATGAAAATTGGTTGTGAAAAGTACATTTGCAGCATTGCAACACAAATTTGGTTCTTCTGCAGAACAGCTAGAGTGCAAGCAGTGGCCATAAAACTCCTTCCACTGTCCTGCCTTAGTGCCTCAGTCCATTTCCTGAGGGCAAATCTCCATCAGAGAGAGGAGTGTTTTAGACTCCATGCTTATACAATCCTTGGTCTCTCTGGTAAGACTGTTTAAAAAGGTGCTGGTTTATGCAGTAGAAACAGTACTAAGTGATGAGATACTTATTTTACCTAGGTCATTGAATACCAGCCTAATGGTAAGGCTTTGACTACTAGGTCTGGCCATTGGATCTTTGACTTTGTAATGGGATCCAGAGCTGTTCAGTTCTAGGTCATTGTTATAGATCAGAACAAATTCCTTGAGATCATAGAATCATAGAATATCAGGGTGGGAAGGGACCCCTGAAGGTCATCTAGTCCAACCCCCTGCTCAAAGCAGGACCAATTCCCAGTTAAATCATCCCAGCCAGGGCTTTGTCAAGCCTGACCTTAAAAACCTCTAAGGAAGGAGATTCTACCACCTCCCTAGGTAACGCATTCCAGTGTTTCACCACCCTCTTAGTGAAAAAGTTTTTCCTAATATCCAATCTAAACCTCCCCCACTGCAACTTGAGACCATTACTCCTCGTTCTGTCATCTGCTACCATTGAGAACAGTCTAGAGCCATCCTCTTTGGAACCCCCTTTCAGGTAGTTGAAAGCAGCTATCAAATCCCCCCTCATTCTTCTCTTCTGCAGGCTAAACAATCCCAGCTCCCTCAGCCTCTCCTCATAAGTCATGTGTTCTAGACCCCTAATCATTTTTGTTGCCCTTCGCTGGACTCTCTCCAATTTATCCACATCCTTCTTGTAGTGTGGGGCCCAAAACTGGACACAGTACTCCAGATGAGGCCTCACCAATGTCGAATAGAGGGGAACGATCACGTCCCTCGATCTGCTCGCTATGCCCCTACTTATACATCCCAAAATGCCATTGGCCTTCTTGGCAACAAGGGCACACTGCTGACTCATATCCAGCTTCTCGTCCACTGTCACCCCTAGGTCCTTTTCCGCAGAACTGCTGCCTAGCCATTCGGTCCCTAGTCTGTAGCGGTCCATTGGATTCTTCCATCCTAAGTGCAGGACCCTGCACTTATCCTTATTGAACCTCATCAGATTTCTTTTGGCCCAATCCTCCAATTTGTCTAGGTCCCTCTGTATCCTATCCCTCCCCTCCAGCGTATCTACCACTCCTCCCAGTTTAGTATCATCCACAAATTTGCTGAGAGTGCAATCCACACCATCCTCCAGATAATTTATGAAGATATTGAACAAAACCGGCCCCAGGACCGACCCTTGGGGCACTCCACTTGACACCGGCTGCCAACTAGACATGGAGCCATTGATATTCAGTTCTTCCTTCCTGAAAAAGCTTCATGCTCTTGTGCGCCAAAGGTATAGGATCTTGGAACACCATAGCTACCCCTTGAATGTTAACTAGCCTTTTGGACATGCTTTCACAGTTAGATTATATGTATCGAGCAGGGTATTCTGAAGGGAATGGGTTATTTGAGGGAAACAAGAGACTTTCTTGGAGATGACACACTTTGACTGTTGGCAAACTCCTTTTGGAAACCTAGTTTAAATTTTCTCTAGGACAGTTTCAGCAGAGGAGTTTTTCATTCTTTCCTCAACTGATGCCCAGTGTTTCTCAGCCAAGGGTTTGTGTCTCCTAGGGGGTTCACAGAAAGCAATCAGAGTGGTAGTAAGGCGTGACCTTTTTTATTACTATCTAAAGCAAAGAAAAAAACCTCCATCTCTCACTCCCCGCACATCCTTGCCCTTTAAGGTAAAGAATTCACCATCAACCTTTCAAACAGAACTGGCTGGAGGATGACAATTCTGTTTTGCAACAACTTGGAAGTTTTGACATTGTTTTCATTCCATTGCAGATCGGAAACAAGTTTTTTAAAAAGTTTTTGTCAAACTGAATTGTGTCCAAATGTCCATTTTTGGATTGAAATGGTCAGGTTTTCAATCTCTCTCTCTCAGAAGTGACCCAAGAGTCCATCCTGGACCCCAGTAACCTTTCCACTGAAAACTTCTTCAAAATTGGGGGTTGAACTAGATGACCTCCTGAGGTCCCTTCCAACCCTGATATTCTATGATCCTATGAAAATCAATACGTCTCCATGAAACGTTTTTGGCTTTGATGAAACAATATTTAGATGAAAATACATTTAATTGACAATGTTCTGACCAGCTCTGTTCTCGTGTAAATTATACAGGTTTATTACAAATACGTGTTTCACTTTTATTTTTATAGTAAGTGTAAGGGAGTCATGGCAGTTTTTGATTTCAAATTAAAGGGTCACCAACTTGAAAGGTTGAGAAACACTGCCCTGAATTATCACCTGATTGATCTTTTCAGAGTCTTTCAATGTGGGTTCTACTCCTAAGAGTTCTTTACATTTATGCAGTTTATGTATTCTGTATCAAGGAACATTTTGCTGCCTTCATTAATGGTGCCATCACCCCAGAACGAGTTTTAGACATAGAAACGTGGCAATCCCAATCTTTGGCTTGTGCTAGGCATTGTACACACACATAACAAGACAGTCACTGCCATAGAGAACTAAATCAAGTGTTTCACTCCTTTGCAGCTCTTTCTTTGGCTGGTTTAACCTGAAAGCTGTTTCCATAAACTCTGCAAAGTTAATCCACTGTTGCAGAAAAAACTGTTTCAAGTTCAGTGCATGTGTAACCCATGTCTGCTTCGTGTGGCACTCTGTCCTCCTGTAGTGGCATCTAACCCAGCTAGAGATTGATGAGTCTGCTACAGCCTTGGCTAATAGCCATGTGGCTTTTAGCTCATGCAGGAGAGGCTCATGCATTTAGCTCCAGTGGTCGCAGGTTCGACCCTGCCCACCGACGACTGGAGTCTGTTGACATTATACATGCCATATCTAGGGCTTTGAGAGAATTCTGCAATAAACTGACTCATAACATACAATTTAAGGCCCCCAATCCTGCAAACACTCCCATGACTAACTTTGTGCATTGGAGAAGTCCCACTGCCTTCATGTGTGTTGAATGACCAGAATCAATGGGGACTGCTTAGGGGCCTGAAATTGCTCATCTCAACAAACATCTGCATCTGGACTTAAATAGACGGTTTTAGCTTTAACTCTGAATTGTCTTGGATTTATAGGCTCAGAACTGGGCTCCCACTTTAAGACTATATTTCTAACTGTTTAATTTTCTTTTTAGTATCTTATTTTAAGAGGGAAAAGTCCAGTTTCTTTGCCCTTTCAGGCACTAGAGCAATTTAATGGATTTGATTAGTACTGGCTAAATTTGGTAAGCTATTTTTAATGAGAAACCACATTTCAGTCCTTCGCTAGATGCTCACCTATCACTCCCATTAGCATTAACGGCAGCTGGGGATACATACCTGGGGAAAATAGAATTTCTTAATTGTTTGATGTGATGCTTGGATCCTATAGGGGGACTATTCTCTCACTGATGCATGTGCACAAGTCCTGTTAACTTTAATGGGAGTTACACGGGTGCATCAATGGAAGATCAGACCCGTATGTTAGCCATTTAATTTCCTGATTTAAGTGTGACTTTGATAAGGTACAGTAATTATTATTATATATTCTCCACAATCACTACATTGCAGCAAAAATATTATTCATTTTGTTGTGAAACACTTTTATTTTATGCAGCGGGGAAAAAGAACTCTAGCAATGTATCACCGCTGGTGGGAGTCGGGATGCTGAAATGTTGCAAAAAAGAGGTGGTGAAAATGATCTTGATGAAATTCTGTGTAGGGTAAAATAGGGTGAGCTCTGGAAAAAAAACTTCTTTCTACCTATGAATACAAGATAAGGCCCCGATTCTGCAATCTTATCGATGTGGCTGGATTTCCACTGCAGTCAGTCAGACTCCATGCAGGCACAGAGGTCCATCTCCACAGATCGGATTGCAGGACTAGTGATAACACAGGAATATGTTTACATTTTGCTACATATATATTAAGGTTTGAGACAAACCAACACAGGTCAATGGACAATCCTGAGTGGTGTAGGGCACCAGCTACTCCTCGATGGAGATATTTTTGGCACCACAGCACATCGGCACCAAGGTGTACGAAGAATGAATAGCCTGGTTGTTGAGTCATATGCATGGACTGAAAGGCATATTTCTGGACCTAAAAGCATAAGACTCTACTTCGTCAACTAATGGACCAAGTCTGTTAGCATAGAAGCAAAAGCAGATATACAGATGGAGCTGGTCAGCATTTTTGGATTTTTGAGTTTTCAGCAAAATTTGTCATAAAACCTGTCAATGTCAATGCAAAGTTTCATCAGTTTTATGGGGGCTTTGGCAAGCATTATAGCACATCAATGTTTTCCCATTATCCAACATGTTGAAAAAAGTCAAAATGACAACAACATTCTGAGAAGCCAATGCTGTTTTTAAATTCCCACTTTTCTATATTTTTTTTTACCTGCTCCTCTTTATATGTGATGTATTCATTAGAGGGGAAGAAGAAGCCAAAATTTGTTACACACTTATACCCATGTTAGCCTATAAAGTTAATAAAAACAATGAAAAGATTATAGAAACACCAATTATTTACACGCTTAGAAGACAGTTTAGGAGTAGATGGAAATGTTAGATAATTTTGATTATTTTCAGTGTATTTATCACATACGCTGTATAAAAGAATATATATTGTATCCCTAGGCTATGTTTGCCAGAAGCTGGGAATGGGTGACGGGATGGATCACTTGATGACTACCTGTTCTGTTCATTCCCTCTGGGGAACCTGGCATTGGCCACTGTCGGAAGACAGGATACTGGGCTAGATGGACCTTTGGTCTGACCCAGTATGGCCATTCTTATGTTCTTGTGTGTAAATTCGTCCCTGGTGGCCTGATCTGATCTGGCAAGCTCTGCGTGTGCTTACTGGATCAGGCCCACAGGTGAGTTTGGTGGCAGAATGCTGATCTTCCTCCCAGTCCACGCCTTGCTCTGGGGCATAGGCATTCAGACTCCTAGTGTGGGATTGCCATGCGCATATATATATATATATATATAGGAGGGTGCAGCTTTTCGCCCCCTGCACTGCTCCACCCCCAAAAGACCCTGTGGGCTTTCCTATAATGCTTCAGAAGACATATTATGACATTTCTTCTTGGGAAAAGACTAGACATTTTCCTTTTTGACATATTATATGGCTCATTTTTCAGTTATTGACTTTTTCCTGTTTTTATTAATAAACCACATGAGAGCAGATCTATTATGATCCTGTTTATAATATATAATTTCTTCCCTATCCATTGTTTCTTCCTCATAGAATACTGATCTATGCTATAACTATAATGGCTGTCTACCCTCCTGTGAATTAATTCCCAGTCAAGCAGAACACTTGGGCACATGCTTAATATTAAGCACGTCTGTAGTTTCATTGACTTCAAGTGCTCCGTTGGATTGGAGCCTTAGAAAAAATAAGGTTTCACATTTTTTTTTAAAAATCAACTTTCTAGCATATGCAGTAATAAAACATGAAATGCAAAATCTGCATTGGAATAATTTTTGATTGAGATTGTACATGTGTAAAAGGCAAGATATGCAAAGTTATTGCTGTAAAAGCAAATTTAACAGTCACATTTCACATCCATAGGGTACTTTTACAGCTATTTACTAATTATATTAACTTTTGTGCTTTAATGTGTAGCTGCGATGGCACCGAATTAGTTACTATGAGCGCCATAATTTTGAATATTTAGATTTTCATGTTTAAATCACAGCTATAGTTCTGGATGGCTTTTGCATACACTATTACACAGTAAAGAACATGTACACTTCAAACTCTAAAAACCTGATGTTTAGAATCAGTTTGGCTGACAAATTTATTTGATTTCTGTGGCATCTGGGGTTCACTGTAAAAGCATCTGTAGCCCAACAGATAAAATATTCCTCTGTTTTGTCTTGTTTATGAGCTAATAACTGTCATCTGAAAGTGATGCACTTTATGATCCATAGCACTCAGAGAATTGTTGGAATGACCATCACTTTAGTTGATAAGCTGCAGTTAAACTTTTGAACAGAAGATGGTGTAGTATTCAAAGATTCATTCAACTGGAGAGTCAGAACTCTGATTTTAAATAAGTTGATTGTGTATTAGACTACAGTAAGTGCAGTCTACCAAAGTTAAACTTAAAAACTTTTAAAAAGATTCATTTCCCAATGCATCATGCTTCCATTAATAGCACATAATTTGCTGTCATCTGTGGAGTGGTGATTAAACTGGTTTTGTTGTTGTTTGTTTTAAGAATTAGTAACTAGTTACACAAGAAAGGATACCTTGTTTTCTGTGAATGCCGATATTTGTTTTATCAATCTCATTTTAATCTAGGGATAAAAAGCATTGCATTGGCAGCAGATGTAAGCAAACCTGAAGATGTGCAAAGGATTCTGGATGCGATTGTAGCTAGGTGGGGCACAGTTCATATTGCCTGTAACAATGCTGGAATTAACATGAATTCTGCAAGTGAAGACACTTCACTAGAAGAATGGGACAAAACTTTTAACGTTAATTTACGAGGCTTGTTTTTGTGCTGCCAAGTAAGTATGAGGATCTGTACTATTTTCCTGTAGCTGTTTTCTGAGCATTTGACTTACCCAGAGGTTTAATAATATTCTTGTTGCTAATTATCATCATAAAATCGAACGTATATTGGCGGGTGTTAATAATAGTTTGGCTATGTATCCGTAGGCTTGGCCACATTAGATTTTTGTCAGTAAATGTCGATTTCAGCAAACAAATGCAAACTGATGAAAAAATATTTCCATCCATAACAACTGAAATTTACAGATAGGCAAAGTAAGAAGAATGCTGCCTGAGAACTTATTTAGAGTTTAAGGACATTTACTTTTTGTATTTTGACATGTGATGTTGACAATTTGTGTTTTAATGGTTATCAAGCTTTGACTTTTTGTATTTCCATGTCTGTTGTCATTAAATAATTGTCTGACTCCCCCGCATAATTTCCCACATCTGTGAAAATTTAACTAAATAAAAACTGCACACCATTATTGGTTTTAAGCATTTTTTTTTCAACTGTGAAAAATTTAAATAGATAAAAAAAATTAAAAATGCTTAAAAATAACCATTGGTATTATCTGTTGAAATTATAAAAAAAAAATAAAAATTCAATTCTGTGACACTGTGAATCAGGTATACATTTAGGCCAAGATTATCAAAAGTAACTAGTAACTATTGGTGAGACACCTTAAAAAGAGACCTGATTTTCAGAGGCCGGGTGCTCAAAACTTCCTGAAAATCAGACCCTTTTGTGGGATATCAGTTGGAGTTCCCAATACTAGAGGCATCCAATATTACTATTCACCTTTTGAAAATTTTGGCAACACAGTAGCTGAATTAAAATGACAATAGAAATTTTTCTGCATCAGCCATTTTATATCAAATTTTTACACTGTGCACTTTTAAAAAAAAATCCATAAACTCTTCTGAAAAGTGAAGACTAATTTATTATCATGTAATTATTAGCACAATCACAAAAGGGGTCACTGGTCTTTCCTTTAATTTCTGTCATAGGCTGCAGGCCGCATTATGCTGAAGCAAGGATATGGGAAGATAATTAACACAGCATCTATGGCAAGTTTAATAGGTGAGTGATGATATCTAACAGTTGTGCTTTAGAATCCATATTTTAATTACTACCAATGCTATCTGAATCAATTAAACCTGTATTGGGAAGGAGTAAATCACTGACATTTTGTATTAGGGGAAAATGTACTACAAAATTTTTATGATCTCATTTTTCAACATTTATCTGTCCTCCATGTTTTAGAGCACATATTACTTTTTTATAGAAGAGGTGGAGTTACCCTCCTTGAGTCTGACACATTAATTATGGAAGAAACGTGTTGGTGTAACTCCCTTAATCTGAGCACAATGTATAACATTTCCGAAAACTGTGCCGTACTCGTGTCTACAGTCTATCCAAAAGCTTTTCACTCTTCCCTTAACTGCGATACCAGTTGTTCTATTTCATTATGTCGCCAACAGGGTGTCTCCGCTAACACTGCTGTGTCAGCAGTGTCATCAAAGAGCCAATAAACTATTGTTAGAACATATGGAACGAAATCCCAACTGCTGAGCTAATCTGGGAAGCAGTTACATGCTGGTGAACTGAAGCCCGTGTAACAAAAATTGATCAATTACACAAATTAAGCATAGCCCTTTAGGAATTTATTTTATTGGTCTGGACATCTGTTGCAGTATTGTCCAAATCCAAAAATCAAATGGTGCCTTGGGTTACCAAGTTAGACAAGAAAATCTAGTAGCTATAAAAGTACAACAGAAAACCCCTATGTTAATATCATCTCCATCTGCTGAATGTTACATAAATATTCAGTCTTTTTATTTTCCTTGGGAATAACATTTATTTTTTACTGTGCCCAGTCTGACATTCTATGACATTCTGTTCGGTTTATTACATAGTAACTTTAAATATTTCTTCAAAAATGCATTTATAAAGTTGTTGTTAATCTTTTTATAAGTGTCGTTACCAGTTGTTTTACTTATGGTTAAACATAAGAGTAGTCCCTTTCCCCAAGTATGGAGAATTGCAAATCGCACAAGCAAAAATAAAAACGGAACTTCAAAGCTTTAAACTTGTGTTACGTGTTTTATACAGTGCCTAGCACAATGGGGTCCTAGTACATGCCTGTGGTGCTGAGGTGCAACCACAATTTATATTAGAATAATAGCAACAACAATACAAGGCTTAATAGTAGATATAGACACTATAGAATGTTAGGCAACAGCTGTGAGGTAAATCCTTGGCTTTACACCAGCTGAGGATTTGCTCTTCTGAGTGTTAAAATACCACTCTCTCTCTCTCTCATTTTTGTTGTTCAAAAGTGCTGTCTCTTATTTAAATAAATGAGTGATATTTCCAGAGAGAATATTTCAATTACAATTATCTTACTGAAACTGCAAACTGAGGGTCAGATTCTCAGTTGACGTAAGTCAGCGCAGCTTGGTTGGGTCAATGGCAGTATGTCCATTTACAGCAGTTGACAATCTGGCCCTGAAGTATGTTAATCACCATTAGAAATCTTTACTGAAATATAAAAGAGTATTTTTAAAGTGAAAATATCTTGGGAAAGGCAGCAGGGGTACACTTAAATGTCAAAGAATGTTAATCCAAGTGGGCCTAGTGAGACCAGTCATTAAGATGAGATGGAACGTGTTTACTTCATGAACCTGTTTGAATCTTGGCATTAACCCCTTCCCCCCGCCAAATAGTTCTAAAAGTATAACTGAAAATCACGATGTTCATATCGTGTCCATCTGCTGAATGTTAAATAAATATGTTGTTCGGTTATTTAAGTATGTTGGCCAACTGGCATAGTATGGAATGTTTCTAGAAATACTGGATAATTTTTCGTAGGTTGAGTTCTCTTTGGTAGATACAACAAAATGAGCAGAGGAGAAACTCAGGGGAGTTAATCCTATTGGATAGAATTTTGACTGTGGTTTCCCAGATATATTTCCCTAAAATAGTTTAATAAATAATATAATCAAGCTGAGATTCTGCATTCAGTTTTGCCTGTATAAATTTTGAGTATCTCCAGTGGCTTCACCAGAGGTATTCCAGATATATGCCAGTGTAACAGAGAGCAGATGGAGTTACTCTGAGTTATCCAGGTGTAGCTAAGATCCCTATTTTTTGCAGTGACTATCTTTGGTGGTAAGAGGGTTTATCCTCTAACATGTAAGTGTATAAACCCCCCACTAATGTTACATGCCTGTATCAAGGGCAGGGTAGAACCCCCGAATCACTGAGTAAAGAAGCAATCACATTGTATTAGATATTAAAAATATAACTCAGCCGATGTTGGTATATTTTTACTTACATTTCCCCCACTCCGTGTATGCAAAACAGTAGGGAATATGTGAACCAGTAGGGAAATTAGCCCCCTTCTCCCAGCCCCACTCCTACAGAGCCGTAAGAGAAGTGACCTTTTCTAAAATGTTCTCCACTGGGGTGAAGATAAATCTTTACATTTATGAAGATGCTCTAGTCAATTTTTGATTGTGTATGTGTGTGCTAAATTCTGTCTTTGTACACATGAGCGGTCCAGCCGAAGATGACAGCGGAAGTAAGGAGAACAGGATTTGGTACTATGTACTTCAGTGCAAAAACAGCACCGCTGTGAAAGCCATCCACTTTGTGACACCCTTTGGCTCGCTCTTGAGTGCTTTCAATTAAGAGAGGCCAAGTGTTTCAGGAGGTGTATATTTCATCTTCTAAACTGCCTTCCTTAACCCTTTCTGTAAAGAGAGACGCATTTAGAAGAAGGAACTCTAGAAAATATCTAATGAGCTTCTGTCCCAAAATCAGCAGGCAGATTCCAACATCTTACAGCAAATCTCTGTTTTAGTTTGTGCACACTGAAAACTGCAATGCCTTGATGGGGGAAGATGCAAAAGCCCTTATCCTCTTAGGAAACTCCAAGTTGTTTGTTACAAACAGACAAACTGGGAAAGTTTAGCAATGACTGCTTTTGTGAGGTGACAAGGTTAACTACTAAATTTGTACATAACTTGGAGCTGGTGTACAGCAATTAATCAAGGAATTATATTCCACTCCATTTCAACGGCCCACATGGAGTGCTGCATCTGTGATGTGATATAGACACACACACACACCCCAAATAAAAAAAGAGAGAGAGAAAGGAGAAATATTTCCTCTAATAAAATCCTAATTATTTTGTTTTGGAAAAAAAATAATATATGGAATGGACTTGGGTTTCAAACTACACAATGCATTATCTGACAAATGAAGGACCTTTCAAATCTTTAATGCATACATAAAGAGGAGGAACTATTAGCTATGTCCTGCTCTCTCCCAATCCTACACACACACAAGTTCTCAAATCTAAGTACACGAGAAGCCACATTAAAGTCAATGGGCCTACTCACATGCATACATTTAAATGTGCTAAAGTGTTTGAAGAACTGGAGCCTATGTCATTTCAGTGTTTTTGCATAATCCAACAATATTGTTCTTTATTTACCGGCCTTTTCCTATAATTTAAGTTGCAACATTTATAAACAGTGGGTTTAGAGGATAAATGCAAGTTCTGGAGTATAGGAGAAGTGAGAACATAAAAACAGCCATTCTGGGTCAGCCCAATGGTCCATCTAGCCCAGTATCCTGTCTTCTGACAGTGGCCAACGCCAGAGGTGTCAGAGAGAATGAACAGGACACTGCAATTATGGAGTGATCCATCCCCTGTTGTCAAGTCCCAGCTTCTGGCATTCAGAGGTTTAGGAACACCCAGAGCATGGGATTGCATCCCTGACCATTTTGGCTGATAAAAATTGATGGACCTATCCTCCATGAACTTATCTAATTTTTTTTTATGCCAGTCATACTTTTGGCCTTCACAGCATCCTCCTGGCAACAATGTCCACAGGTTGACTGTGTTTTGTGTGAAGAAGCACTTCCTTGTGTTTGTTTTAAATCTGCTGCCTATTAATTTCACTGGGTGACCCCTGGTTCTTGTGTTATGTGAAGGGGTAAATAACACTTCCTTATTCACTTTCTCCACACTGTTCATTATTTTATAGACCTTTATCACATACTTAGTCATTTCTTTTCTACGATGAACAGTCCCAGTCTTCTTAATTTCTCCTTCTATGGAAACTGTTCCACATCTCTAATAATTTTTGTTGACCTTCTTTATATTTTTTCCAATTCCAATATATCTTTTTTTTGAGATGGAGCAACCAGAACTGTATACAGTATTCAAGGTGTAGGCGTGCCATGGATTTATACAGTATACTCCTTCCTTAGATATTTTTAAGGTCAGGCTTGACAGAGATTTAGTTGGGGATTGGTCCTGCTTTGAGCAGGGGGTTGGACTAAATGACCTCCTGAGGTCCCTTCCAACCCTGATATTCTATGATTCTATGACATTGAGATTTTTATTATCTCACCCTTTCCTAATGGTTCCTAACATTCTGTTAGCTTTTTTTTAAATCCTGCAGCACATTGAGAAGATGTTGTGAGAGAACTATCTACAATGACTCCAAGATCTCTTTCTTGAGTGGTGACAGCTAATTTAGACCCCATCATTTTGTATGTAAAGTTGAGATTGTTTTCCAGTGTGCATTACTTTGTATTTATAAACAGTGGATTTCACCTGCCATTTTTCATCCCCCAGTTTTGTGAGATCCCTTTGCAGTCTGCTTTGGACTTAGTTATCTTGAGTAATTTTGTATCATCCGCAAACCTTGCCACCTCATTGTTTACCCCTTTTTCCAGATTATTTATGAACATGTTGAACAGCACTGGTCCCAGTACAGATCCCTTGGGGTCTCTCTTCACTGTGAAAACTTACCGTTTATTCCTGCTCTTTATTTCCTATCTTTTAATCAGTTACTGATCCATGAGAGGACTTTCCCTCTTATCCCATGACTGTTTACTTCGCTTACGAGCCTTTGGTGAGGGACCTTGTCAAAAGCTTTCGGAAAGTCCAAGTACAGTATATCCTTTGGCTCACCCTTGTCCACATACTAGTTGGCACCCTCAAAGAATTCTAATAGATTGGTGAGGCATGATTTTCCTTTACAAAAGCCATGTTGACTGTTCTCCACCATATTGTGTTCATCTGTCGTCTGATGATTCTGTTCTTTACTGTTGTTTCAATAAGTTTTCCTGGTACTGAAGTTAGGCTTACTGGCCTGTAATTGCCAGAATCACCTCTGGAGCCTTTTTTAAGAAAGCTCTTTTTTTAAAGACCTCTTTCTTGAGTGGTAAAAATTGGTAAAATTTTCAAAAATTGGCATTACATTAGCTTTTCTCTAGTCATCTGGTACAGAGGCTGATTTAAGTGATAGGTTGCAAACCATTTAGTAGTTCTGCAGTTTCTTATCTGAGTTCCTTCAGAACTGTTGGGTGAATACCATCTGGTACTTATAAGGGTGACATAAAATTGCTAGCTAAGCTGTTTTAATGCTCATTTTCAAACCCTTGTTTATTTACTGAATTTTCCTACCTGTATTATATGGTGCTTGCCAGTAGTCACATGAAACTAAAACCAATTTGATATGCTGATATACCTTACAAAAATTCAGTAGTGCACCTGCCTTTTAAAACACTTTAATACCAGACACTGTGTTTTTTTTACCTCATTAATGGTATTTAGTACTGATTTCCCTCAGTAAAAAAAGAATTACAGCTCAGTAATATTTAATATTAAACTGCACATGTTTAGATTTCACTGCTTTTTTAACAACTTTGTTTAAATAGGTCAGAATGGAAGCCAGGTAGCTAAAAATACTTGAGGAGCAGATCCTTAGCGGGTGTAAATTGCGAGAGCAGAATTGACTTCTACTGATTTTGGTGGCATTATGACAATTTACACCAGCTGAGGTTCTACTCTAAAGTAGTTTTTCCTTGGAACACTGGAAGAGCTCAGCGATGCGGTAGAACTAACAGAACATCCAGCAGAAGCAAGCTTGAACATTGTAATTAACAAGCCGATCATTTTCCTTTATGACTGACATGTGACATCTGTGAAACATTTTCAAAGGCTTCAGATTTTGAAAGTGGTAGATCATCTGAATTTTGGGCACACGTGTTCACAACCCCACAAACACCTGATGAGATAATAGAGAGAGGTTATAAATTAAGCAGAATAACTTGTTTCAGGCAGTTACTTGTATGTGTGTATTATAAAAATTGAACGTGTGTTTGTGCATATGTTTCTATTTGTGGGATACAGCCAAATATTTTGAGTATATCGTTGTAATATCTATTTTTTGTAGTTCTAAAATCTGCAGTCTGTTTTATTGCTGTTGTTTCTTCATTTTCTCTTCAATCCTCCAGCTGTTAATGCAAAAATATTAGATGGAATATATTATATTAGGAAAAATATAGATGTAGGGATTTGCTATATTAGAATTCCTTCATGTTACCTGCCAAACATCAGGGGAAAGGGCAGCTAGTTCATCTGTGCATGTTGTGATTTTTAGCTTCCCTGTGCATATTAATATGTGAAGAATCAATATTTCATATTTCTGAATTATTCTAGTGCCTCACCCGCAGAAGCAGTTAGCATACAACGCCTCAAAAGCTGGGGTCGTAAAATTAACACAGACATTAGGAACTGAATGGATTGACAGGGGAGTAAGAGTCAACTGCATTTCCCCGTAAGTACAATGTAGTCTCATTTTATAAAGTACAGAAAAAATGAAATGTTATAAGAAGTGTTCACTGCTCAAATTAAGAAAATCTAGGAAAACAAAGTTGCTAATTAGCAGGTGGATTGCATCCCTTTTTATTTTGCCTTCTGCTTAACAAAGGTTTAATCACTATAACCAAAGTGTTCTCCATGGCTGTGTATATTGAGGGATTTGAGAAAAGGTTTTAGCATTTGATAATAGGTTTTCCAATAACATGAAGGGTAATTTTTCGCATTTCTCTTCCAGATGAAAAATTTCCTTAGTTCTGTCCAAGCCTTCTGTGGTTTAAGAAAGGGCTTTTGGCACTTAATAGACAATGCTTCTCCTTTTTTTTTCTTTTTTTCTTTTACTTCAGACAAATATACAGACACTTTAAAAGCTGTATTGTAGTGCTGTAATTGAGACACCATTCAGCTCTGGCAATTACAGGATTTTTAGGTGTAATTTTTTCAAAAACTATTCATTACAAGTTACATTTTACCTAATTTTTGAAATCTTAAAGATGTAGGGGGTTTTGGGTTATGTTGTTTATTTGTTTTTGTTCTTTTAATAACACGAAGCAAAGTTTTTTTTTTCCCCTCACACACTTTTTCTCTTTCTCTCTCTCACACACACTCTTTATTATACAATTTTCAGTGTAAGTTAATACTGAGCAAAAACTCAAGTGGATTACATTAATTGGGAGCGGTCAAATTCCATAGACCACTGAAGTCAATCAGAGTAAGAAGTGCAGAATTTTAACCCAGAAGTTTAACTAACTGGTATATGTAATAATGAAAATATGATGTACATGAAATTAAGAAAAACAAGTTAAATATTTTAATCCATAAAGTGGAGAAAAATATCACAGAGTTCAATTGAAAATATCTTTATTTTGATTCTATAAATTCTTTGATTTACTTCTGTATGCTGGCTCTGTTTATTATTATTTATTTATTTATTTATTACTACTAATAATAAATGTGATTCCATTCTTAGCTCATTGCAAACCACAGATTACTTAAATAACATCCTATTTCTGAACCAGGATTTACTCACACCAGTACCAACAGCTCAACGTTGCTGATCCAGTGTCTAGCTCTAGTGACTCTACACCAGCTTCCAGGGCCAGGAGGACTGAATGAAGTTAGCAAAGCTGTAGCAAGAACTGGCAAGGCAGAGCTAGTGTTAACAATAGAGGTAGGAAGCAGAGAGGCTTTTAGCTGCAATGAATTAATTTTTATATACAGGTTGGAGCTCCTGGGGCCCACCAGAATCAGAAAATATTGGTCATGTTTCAATATACTTTCTGGCTGAGAAATATATCGGTACCCTTTATTAATATAGCTGGAATATTAGTGTCACATTCAGAATAACCGTGGTTAAAGAGGCACTTAAGTTATAAGCTTTCAGGTGTTTAAAACTTCCTGCAAAAAATTACCCGTTGGTCTGAAATTTCTGCTGCTTGTTAAATACACTTATTTAACAAGCAGGAGAAATTTCAGCTCAACCGGTAACTTTTTTTGCAGGAAATTTTGCAGGAATGAATATATATACATATAAAACATTTTTGCAGAGAGTATAGTAAAACTTCATGTTAGCTGTGAGTTGTCTGAAAATGGAGAAAAGGTATTTTGATGCTTGGAAGGGAAAAATCCGTTCAGAGGATTTTCTTTTTCTATCATTAACCAAAACTGAGTTTAATTTTAATAATTCTTACTCATCCTAGACTTTTTGGTCCCACACCTGCAAACTCTCTCAATGTGGGAATCCCATTGTAATAAGGGAGACTTTTGTTCATTGAAGGCTGCCAATGCTCAGTGAGGAAAAGAGCTTTTGCTATACCGGAGGAACCCTGGTTTAGACATACTAGTTATGAATATTTGATAATCACATATGGTCTGACTGGAAACCCACTCAAATCAACAGGAGTTTTTCCATTACGTTCAATGGGGTTCGGATCAGGCGTATATTGTCCATGATTTTCTTGGCTTATTATTAACAATGTACCCAGATAAGGAGCTCTTGATACATACATGCTGGCACTCGCATGTACTTAAAACACTGCATGTTGAACTCAAATGCACTTATGTTCTTTTCAATGACTGGATATTCAAATTCATTTCTCTGCTGACATGGAAACGTGGAATACATATTTCAGTCTCATTCTGTACATTTAAAGAGAGGTTCTGGCGTGTCCACAGATATATTCACACAATCCCCGTGAGTCAAATCTTCCAGTCCTAGCTCACAATCTGATTTTGCAAGGTGCTGGGCATCTTCTGCTCCCATTGCACTCATTTTTAAGTGCTCAGCACCTCACAATTTCAGGCCTGGTTCCTCTCTGGGGCAATAGGCCCACTTATGATGCTGAACGCTTTGCTGGGTGGAAGAGTGAGGGTCTGGCCCGGTTTTACAGATCTACCTGAATGCTCAAGTGAACCTGGCATATAGACTTTATTATAACATGCAACTATTTCAATAAAAGGACCCCTTGGAACCCCAGAAATGTGCACAGAGGCCTCAGTTCAGCAAAGCACTTAAGCACAGGCTTTATTTTAAGCAGGCGCGTACTCCTGCTGAAGTCAATGGAACTGCCTGATGATTATAGTGGAGCACTTGGGTCCCAGTTCAGGAAAGCTTGCAAGCACAAACCTGAGTCCATCCTTCTTCTGGAATCGGGGACATGCTGAAGTGCTTTGTTGGATCCTGGCTATATCAGTGTCCTTATATCTCCACATCGTCACATCTGACCTCGAGCGTTCTTTCAACATGACAACATTCACTCTTTTTTTTCTTTTCCTTTCTTGTCAGCTTTCATCAATTTATTTTTGTAAATGAGCATATCAAACATAGCATCGGAGCCGTGCATAAAATGTATCCGTGCATACAATGTTATGGCAGGGATTTTTGCATAATTTATTGAATTTCTGAATTCTCTTGCTGACCAGGTATCCCTGCCTCACATTTTATATAGTTCACCAGTACAGCCTCTTTCTTTTTGGGAGGGATACTGAGGATGGGGGGAGTTGGAGAGTGAGTGAGAGAGAAGTTCATTCCTAGCTTGTAGATTCACAAGGCAAATTTTCTTTGGATCCAACCCAGATCACAAATAGCCAATGCGCTATCCAATTGGCAGTGTTAAAAACCTATCAGCCCTTGACATTGCATGCCAGAATCTTATGAATATATTATATTTTGCTCTCACGTGATATTATTAACATAGGGCCTCATCCTGATACCACTGAAATCAGTGACAAAATTCCTATGATCACCAGTAGATCTGTCCCAGATACTATCAAAGTGAGGGGGAAAAAATAAAACCCCACATTAAATTAACCCATCTTCATCAAGAACAGTAGACACAACATACAATACCTAATAGCTGCTGAACTGGAAAGATAAGTGTTAATGTCCCATGAGAATAAAATATTGTGTGTTGATTGATTTTGCAGCTAAATTGCTAATTATGTAAAGTTAAATGAATCATATCCTTAAAATTTATTACTTATTTTAGTGCAAAGAACTGGCATTGATGCTACATGAAGGTGATGAAAATTGGACCATTCCATAGCTGGAAAATTGCAAAATATTTCAAGAGAAACTTTTAGTAATGCCTTGTGTCTCAAATGCCTCCTAATTGGTCACATTGTATGCTGGGCTAGATTCACCCTGTCTTGGGCCACTTTTAATTTCTGCCCAGTCTCCTGGTGGCAGGAAGCCCAACTAGAGGAGAGTTGAAGCAGCATTAAATGGTTGCATCTTCTCATTTGAGGATCTATGGGAAAACAGCACATCCTCAAAACTGGACAAAACTGGCAGGTGAGAGGGCAAGACCAGAATGAGAAATGGATGCAATTATTCAGTTGGGCAGCAACCACTGGGGCTTATATAGAGTCCAGGTAACAACTTACAGCTGCCCTCTTGCAGCTGAAACCCTGAGGGACAGTAGGGGTAAATTCTATCTGTGACAGTGCCCCCCACTTAATCAAGCTGCCTTGACAATGTTAGCACATGCATTAATACAACAATCAATAACATATGACATTTTCTATTTAACAAGTGATAGAAAATACTACAAATATGCAACGTGGCTGAGTAGACATTATAAAAGAACCTTTGCTTTTTCAGGGTGTCCTGATTGCGTGCTTGATTTTGCAAATTTTGAATTGCATTCATACCCCTCCCCCCAAAAAATTTCATTCCAGTTTGTTTTTAAAGGGGGAGAACTTCAGACTGGTGCTCTATTTGGATAGGGCAATTTGAGCTGGAGCTTGAATTCTAAGTTCCTTGAACAGCAACTATGGTCAAACCTGGGTTATCTGAACCCTAGTGAACCAAAATTCTCACTCATCTGGGGGTCAGATGTGTCCCCTGAAGTTTGATTTGAAGCCCATATCCTGCAGAGCTTCTAATTTGCATAGCAACACAGTAGGCCAGGCCTGTAAGCCTGGGCTAATCAGCTGTGCTAATCAGTGCTCTCACTGGCTTGCTCATATAACACTCTCTCTTGTCTTTCCCCTGAAGACCTTGTCAGCAATGTCAGTAGAAGCTAACTGGCCTGAGTTGCCAAACAACACAGGTTCCACATGCAACTAACACCATCTCTATGCATTGCTATTTAGCCTCCTTGACTAATAAGCTCTGCTTCACCAGCAGAATGTGTCAACTCCTTGCTCTGTGGAGATTCCAAGGTGCCTCAAGCTCCTTAACCTGGATCCCATGCAAGCGCCATCACCCCTGGTTCCAGGATATTAAGATTCTCAAGCTTATGATCTCCTGCTTCATCTGCAGTCCAGGGCACTTCAGAGCCTGTCATGTTATTGGATAGGTATATGGAGAAGGAAGGAGGCACCATGTGCAATGAAAGAGGGGCTGAGATACTGTCTAGACTAGAGGCAGCTATAAGATGCCCAGTATCTAGAGTTGGTCTGAAAGGAGTTCAGGAGGTGGTGAAGCAAATAAAAATTTCCACATGTGCCCCAATTATGGAGGGTGTGCAAACCATTGCTAGGGGAGTACACACACAAAAGTAGTGTGAGATTGTAGCACAGGAAAGAGCTAAGCACCACTATATCACCCAAAGGCTTCCCAATTAAGCAGCATTACTGTCCCCATTAAGCAGCAGTCATTGCTGTTAAGTATCTTTGGATTTAAACATAATTCCTTGAGAGAGGTCCCAATTAAGTGTATCTCCTGATTAAACATTTTCTGATTAAGTGGAGTGTACTTAACTCATTCAAATTAATAACTCATATGAAAGAAATCAAGTTACACCGAGAGGGAAGTTCCCCCCTCTTCTCCCCCCCCACCCCACTCATATGGGGATTGAACACACACAAATCCAGTTAAGTGATTTTTTTCCCCCACTCTCTCTCATTGTGGAGATGCTTTAGGCAATTGCATTTTGTTTTTGTTTTTTAATGTCTCAAATTGCTCTATGCATCAACAATGGAATACTGATGTTCATGTCTAACCTTAAGGAACCAGCAGTTTGATAAAACATTGACATGCAACAGAAAGTACTGATAGGCCCAGCACGGCATACTAGATGAGGTAGGGAATTAATGCATTGGCACTTGTCTTTGCTGGAACTGGTTAGAAGCCAACTGAAATCTGCCTAAAAGGGTTCTACAACATTAAATTGCCCAACTTGGCACCAAGCCTTTCCCAGAAGATGTGTACGATCAATGACATGCTTAATATTTATAGTATCAGTATGTGTGTTTGCAACTTTAAGTTGTGTGCTACATCTTTTTCTCTCGATAAAAATTGCCTGTGATATTTTTTTTTCATCAGACCTCTTACTCTTGAAACAAAATTAAAGGAAGGGCAGCTGAAGGCACTGGTTCAATGATTTATAGTTTGCTCTGACTATATTTAGTCTCCATGTTATCTGTTTGAAGTTGGTTGATGAATATACATATATTATTTTTCTTAATCTGGATCCTCTTCTTAGTAAAACAAAACCCTCATTTAAAAATGCCAGCATTCGCTAATTAGGGTATCAAAACACTATAGAGGCATGGAAACCTAGAACCAGATCCTGCGAATGTTTGTCAACAGATATAGTGCTTGGTGTAAATCAAGAGTAACCCTATTGAATTCAGTGGATAGACACCAGTTTTACACAGGTGTATATCAAGTTAGAGGAGGATTAGGACCATAGCTTTCACTTCTGCAACTAAAACTCCGGTTTTCTCTCCAGAAAACCAGTGCTAAACAGGTGGGAGGGAGACTGTGCTTAGGAGAAATAAGTAGACTGTCTACACGTTATACTGGAATTTATTCTATTTTTGTATTACTATGTGAGAGCTCAATCAATTTGTCCTTGCTCAGCATTTCTGAATAGTTATGGTTTTTATTGATAATTAAAAGCAAATATAAAGCTGGTATTTAAAGTGTGTTCCATTACTAAAAATGGAAATGTTGGGGGTATTCTGAATTCCTTCCACCTAGTAATGCGGTAAATCGAAAATTTCAGGCTTCATTTAAAACAAAAGGTAAATCGCATACCCAGAATCCAGTGTGTTTCTCAGACCTATTTCCTTGGAAGGATAAATTGGGATGATGAAGTTTCAGAACAAAACGGTATTTTTATACTTTGTTCATTTCATATTTATCACTAGCTTGTTTGCTAATTTTCATTTGCAAGAGGCAATTCTTCCAGCTAACTGGGTGCCTCAATGGGCCACTGATTTCTTTGAAGTGACAGTCTGTAAATATGCATAAAAAAGAGATGCAATTAGCGTGTGTGGTTCAGTGCAGCCTGATTTCATTGGCAAGTTTACCCACAGTGTTGATAAGCTACATTATCTAGAAAATTGGCCACTGAAAAACAGCACCTCTGATTGCCAGCAAAGGTTCCAGATAACAGGGTGCCGAAGAGAAATATAATTGAGGTTGAATATGTTAACCAAGGTGTCACATGCTCCTTAGAAGCGCTAATTTATCAGCATGTTGGAATTTTTATTAACATTTGGAATGCATTTCTACCACACTAATGAAGTGGAATTGGCAGTTCAGGTTTTAGTTATTGTCGTTTCTGAGAAGTTAAATGTAATTCCTCGTTAGATACAGTTATGTAAATATATTTGTTCAGGGACTGAAAAAATGACACATTTCACAAAATACAAATATGTTGTTAAGGAGGAGTATGACAAATCAGTTCCAGTTAAAGTCATCAAAGCCAGCCAAATATTAGTACTGTAATGTGCATTCTACAGTTTCCACTCATTTTTAGGGCATGTGAGGGAAATGAACTTAGCAGAGTTTTAATGCGTTCTGTAGTTGGCTCATTAATGTGAAACAATCCAGCTTAGTACACGTTTTGTAACTGGTCATGCTGTTTATTCAATGGGGGGTTATACTTGGCATATTTTGCTTAACTTTTTCCTTTCCCTGCCCCCTTTTCATCTTAAAGTGAATTTAGTGCTGCGAAAGGTGCTGCTGGATTTTGTTTTCAGTATTTTGGCATATGGAAACTTGGACTGTTTTCAGTTTCTGAACTGTATGCAAACATGTTGTGTAACATTAGGCTGTGCATTGATGAAAAAAGAAATTGGTAAATGGAACACATTTCCAAAATGCAGAGACAGACTGGTTGTGCTCATTTTGTTTCTACGTTATGTTTGTTTTCTATAGGAAAATGTAAATTGGGTATTCTGGTAAGTAACCGAAGATAACGGGGCACCTATGTTAGCCAACGATACAAACGATGAGTGCTCTCTTTAAGAGGAAACCGCTAAGTCGATTTATCAACCGTGAAAGACAGGAAGGGACAACCATGATTGAAGTTTGTGTTTTAACTCCTTAGCAGAGCTACATGATGTCTAACGTTGTCCAGGGGTGCTGGACCAATTTGTATGGTGGGGATATTGAACCAGACTGTAAACCCTGTATATGATGGAAACAACTTCAAGCCAGGATGTGCAGCAGCAGGACGACCGGCACCACTAGTTCCAGCACCTATGAAAGCTGGGATCTTACTTTATTATTTCATGGTTTTCTTTTCGAAGTGGCATTTTGTATTCCCGTCACCACTTGTTTTATTTCAGAGTAACAGCCGTGTTAGTCTGTATTCGCAAAAAGAAAAGGAGTACTTGTGGCACCTTAGAGACTAACCAATTTATTTGAGCATGAGCTTTCATGAGCGTGAGCTGTAGCTCACAAAAGCTCATGCTCAAATAAATTGGTTAGTCTCTAAGGTGCCACAAGTACTCCTTTTCTTTTTACTTGTTTTATTGTTATAAGTGCTACGTATGAAAAATGTAACTCTGTGTATGTGATTTTTAGGGGAATTGTAGACACGCCGCTCATCCATTCTGAAGATCTGAAGCCTCTGGTACAGCGCTGGCTAACAGATATTCCTGCTGGGAAGCTGGCTCAAGTGACAGACCTGCAGGCGGCTGTAGTATACCTGGCATCTGAAGCTTCAGATTACATGACAGGCCACAATTTGGCCATAGAGGGTGGTCAAAGCTTGTGGTAGAAAAGAACGGAGCAGCTTTCTTCGTTGTAGCACTTCTAATGCATGAGCACAAGAGTGGGAAGTAGACAGGAAAGAATCCTGATTCTCACCATAGTCTACAAGCGAAGATGTGCCCAGAGAATTCTGAGTTCCTCGCAGAATTGGGTTCTTTACATGTAAATAAAATAAAATAAAAATATATCTTTTCAAAAGTGTGTGCATAAAACACTTCAGAAAACAGATAAGGTAGTTAAACCAGTGCTTCCTTGTTTAAAATGTTGTTTGAAGACCTGTCTACTCATCTAGTCTAGAAATAATTTTGTAGGAAAAATGTATGTAATCCTTTATTTTCACGAATTTTTTGAGACTTTACATTCTGCATTCAATCTTTGTGAAGTTAGTACTTAAAAGAATGTAGGTAAGTTTACAATAGCTAAGGCCTCAGCTGGTGTTTAGTTTAACCGGGGGAACATTTTTTTTAAAGCAAACATTAGTTGGTCTGTGCTGCATGCTTTTTTGGGGGTGTTTTTTATTCATGTTGTATCAGTGATATCTGTGAATTGTTTAACTTCCCCACGCCTCCCTCCCGAATATTAAATGTGACCTCACAAAATAAATTGATTGCATTTGATCCTGAATGTTGCCATTTTATATTTACTGGTGTATTTTTCACAGTATTTTTATATATACACACACACATACACTCCTCTGCCAGAAAATTATGTATTTAACAGAGAATTATGTTTTGCAAATATAATGGCTCTGATTCAAAGTCCATTGAAGTGAATGGGGACATTCATATGCTTAAATTAAGCATATGCATTCTTGGGCTCTTTTTTTCCCTTTGTCAGGCAAAGGTGAGCCAAAGTTTTACTGAAACTTTTTTTTTTTGTTTTTGTAAAATTCCTGAGAACTGCAAGTTCTCTGACGTGAATCCGTAATAATTCCAATGATTAATGCAGTTACATCAGTGGAAAAACCCGTATGGGCAATAGAATCAGGCTCATTGTTTAGAGACAGTAAAGTATGGCACAATAATAATGACAGTATTCTGCATTTATATTGTCTCCCATCTGAGGACTTTTAAACTGAGCCTCTGTGATTAAAGAAAATTTATTTGCAAGAATTCACTTGCAAATCCTTGCCATTTGTTTTTCATTTGGCAGCCATATGTTACTGTAACATAAATAATTGTAGATGGATGTCATTACTTTTATTAGTACTACATGTCCACACGCTGGCTACCCATTATTGTGGTGAATTGCTATAATTGTTTCAGACTTGACATTCACCATCATGTTGTTAGCTATGTGTTTCGCCAACGTATTGTCATACTGGATAAAGTGTAAGAAGATACCTGTCTTCATTAAGGTTTCTGTGAGACCATTGATACTTAATAAATATTTCATGTTTCATGTAGATTCATTTTACCGGAGAGTGTTGATGTTAAGACTAGAGCTTGTTGGCTTGGAAAACTTGCCTCGTGTGCATGATCTACTTTATTGACAATGCTTGGCAAACTCATAAGCTTCTGGAAAGCTTAATTCTGGGAGAAATTGTCAAGCAAAACAATTAAGGACTTAAACATTTTATTCTTTTTCTGGGCTCATAAACTCTTGCCTTTCTATTAGCTCCCACACTTGCCTCATTCCGTGTCATTTTCTGGAGGTTTTGTGCGATTCTCTCATCTCTCTGGCTGGCTTTTCATCCCAAGGTTCACACATTGGTGAACTCATCAGGAGTGATTCCAAGTGATCCTAGAGGGGCTTGTATATCATGGGTTGGACCTTTGGTGAACAGCTTGTTGCAGCTCCTACCGAAAGGGTAAAATAGCAAACTTCAGCTGATCTGAAGCACAAGCCGCAGTCGCCACTGGCACTGTAATTGAACTCCTTGCTTTCAATCTCAGCAGACAGACCAAGGACCAAGTAAGCCGTGAAGACTGAACTAACCTTTCATGTCTAGAGATGGTCTCTCCAGGCTAACATGGAAGCATGTTGGTAAGTTATTATGGGAAGCTTGAATTTCAGCTGCCTGGGCATTATTTGTTCTGGGGAGCGGAGGCTTCAGAGCAAGATGGATACTCTGGGAATTTCACAAGCTACACAGTCACTTTAAAAACAAAACAAAATCCCAGACAACCAAAATGAGAGGCTGCATTTTTCAAAATTCAAATTCTCCCTTAATTAATGAGCTCCAGCTATTTGGATCCAGAGCCTGTCTTCCTCCAGTCTACTACCTTTCATGTTCTCCTTTTGAATGTGTGGGGAAGGGCAAGGAGGAGAGAGGTAGGGCATTTAGAATCATAGAAGATTAGGGTTGGAAGAGACCTCAGGAGGCCATCTAGTCCAATCCCTTGCTCAAAGCAGGATCAACCCCAACTAAATCATCCCAGCCAGGGCTTTATCAAGCCTGACCTTAAAAACCTCTAAGGATGGAGATTCCACCACCTCCCTAGGTAACCCATTCCAGTGCTTCACCACCCTCCTAGCGAAATAGTGTTTCCTGATATCCAAACTAGACCTCCTCCATGGCAACTTGAGACCATTACTCCTTGTTCTGTCATGTGCCACCACTGAGAACCGCCTAGCTCCATCCTCTTTGGAACCCTCCTCCTGGTAGTTCAAGGCTGCTATCAAATCCCCCCTCACTCTTCTCTTCTGCAGACTAAACAAGCCCAGTTCCCTCAGCCTCTCCTCATAAGTCATGTGCCCCAGCCCCCGATCATTTTCGTTGCCCTCCACTGGTCTCTCTCCAATTTGTCCACAGCCTTTCTGTAGTGGGCGGGGGACCAAAGCTGGATGCAATTCTCCAGGCGTAGCCTCATCAGTGCCAAACAGAGGGGAATAATCACTTCCCTTGATCTGCTGCCAATGCTCCTACTAATACAGCCCAATATGCCATTGGCCTTCTTGGTAACAAGGGCACACTGCTGACTCTATCCAGCTTCTCGTCCACTGTAATCCCCAGGCCCTTTTCTGAAGAACAGCTGCTTAGCCAGTTGGTCCCCAGCCTATAGCGGTGCATGGGATTCTTCTGTCTTAAGTGCAGGACTCTGCACTTGTCCTTGTTGAACCTCATCAGATTTCTTTTGGCCAAATCCTCCAATTTGTCCAGGTCACTCTGGACCCTATCCCTACCCTTCAGCATATCTACCTCTCCCCCAAGCTTAGTGTCATCTGCGAACTTGCTGAGGGTGCAATCCATCCCATCATCCAGATTGGGGGAGGGATAGCTCAGTGGTTTGAGCCTGCTAAACCCAGGGTTGTGAGTTCAATCCTTGAGGGGGCCATTTAGGGATCTGGGGCAAAAATTGGGGATTGGTCCTGCTTCAAGCAGGGGGTTGGACTAGATGACCTCCTGAGGTCCCTTCCAACCCTAACCTTCTATGATTCTATGATTATTATTAATAAAGATGTTGAATGAAACCAGCTCCAGGACTGACCCCTGGGGTACTCTGCTTGATACTGGCTGCCAACTAGACATCGAGCCATTGATCATTACCCATTGAGCCTGACACTCTAGCCAGCTTTCTATCCACCGTATAGTCCATTCATCCAATCCATACTTCTTTAACTTGCTGGCCAGAATACTGTGGGAGACTGTATCAAAAGTCAAGTCAAGATAATCACATCCACTGCTGTCCCCATAGCCACAGAGCCAGTTTATCTCATCATAGAAGGCAGTCAGGTTGGTCAGGTATGACTTGCCCTTGGTGAATCCATGTTGACTGTTCCTGATCACCTTCCTCTCCTCCAAGTGCTTCAAAATGGTTTCCTTTAGGACCTGCTCTGATTTTTCCAGGGACTGAGGTGAGGCTGACCGGTCTGTAGTTCCCTGGGTTCTCCTCCTTCCCTTTGTTAAAGATGGGCACTATATTTGTCTTTTTCTAATCATCCGGGACCACCTCCAATCTCCACAAGTTTTCAAAGATAATGGCTAATGGCTCTGCAATCACATCAGCCAATTCCCTCAGCACCCTCGGCTGCATTAGATCTGGACCTATGGACTTGTGCATGTCTAGCATTTATCTGAATTTGTTTTGGAAGTCTGGATTTTGAGCCTTGTAGGACCTAGGAAGGCCCACTTGTGTAACTTCCCCAGAGACTCATTCTAGACATCCCAGTGAGGTGTGTGTCTACCTTCATCAGCTAGTTGTTAGTCCTGAAAGGCTGCCAGCAGCTCTATAGGATCAATGAAAGGCGTTCCTGTTTGATTGGCCAGCAGTCTATGACTCAGCTTTATAGACTCCAATCAGTATAGCTTGCTGGCCTCAGGTTATCCCCAGCTCATTCCTGCTAAAGAAATGTCCTCTCTCCCACTTTGTCCTCAGGAGCTGTGGAGACTGGGGTCTCTCATTTCAGAGGACCTAGCTTACATTATGATCAGCACCAGTTTTAAGGCTAGGTAGTTGTACCCATGGCGTAAGACCTCTCTAGGGTTTTTATTGTCTGCAACAAATATGGGAATTTTAGCTCATCTGGGTCTTTAGGTGACTAACTGGGCCTTTTAAGTAGAATTCTTCCTGAAGGTGTTTCCCCAGGGTATCCAATTTGTTCCCAGAGGACAGTGGTCTATTCCTGTGCCTTTTGAAAGGGACACTAATGCTACCCAGCCCAGCTCAGAGGTTTGCCATTGAGTGGGACAGTAATGGTTCCCCCAGAACAATCCCTATCCAGAGGTAGTTAGGGAAGTATCCTCTCACTGGGATTTTTTCCACTATAGAGGATTGGTTCAGTAATAAATGGATGGTGAAAGTGGCAGAGTATTTGCCTTAACAGTGGAGGTGGATGCATTCCCATTGGTTTAGATTTGCATGAAATCAGAGGCTATGCTAGCCCATTGGGGGCCCTAAGCAGAAATATTTTGCCCCCCGCCCAACACGTAATAAAAAGTGAATGGGGGAGGCGGGGCTTGAGTTTTTCGGGGCTCTAAGCAATTACTTAGTCTGCTTATGTCTAGCGCCGGCTCAGCATGGAATTCTCAACTTGTCCAGAAAAATGAATCTTGTGGAAACGTAGGCAGGAATACTACCCCTCCCCGCACACACTACATCGCCCCCCGCAAGGCCCTGCCCGTTCTCCCCAAGCCCCCCACCCTGTGCCATTTCTTCCCTCAAAGTCCCGCTCCTGTGCTGCCTCTTCCCCCTAAGACTCGTCCCCCTGCTCCCTCCTCCCCGCCCCCTCCCCGCATCGCTCACCCTTAAGGCCGGTAAAAAGTGCGGGGCCCTGGCCCCCCTTTTTCCAGTGCCCCTGAGCATTGGCACCGTGGATGGAAACATTTCTGGAATGTGTCTTGCCCCAGAGCGTGGTTGTCCAAACACTTCTGCGTGGGTCACTTTTAAATGTAACCTGGTCACCTAGCAGGCCTGCATTAGGCTGCGTTCTGGCCTTGACTGATTTCTTAAGTTTGTCTGACTTGGTGGCAAGCTATTTGTGGAAAATCCTTTCTCGTGGTCTGAGGAGTAACTTAATAAGGGAGAAGATCAGTTTCTATTCAGGGACTGTATGAGAATAGGGCTGCCATGCCTGTGCCCTGTTGTACCACTTAAAAAGTTAAAGATTGGTGTAGCAGTCACCCTTTCCCCTGTGTTCCTAGAGAGAGGCACAATGGCCCAAGAAACTCTTAATG